GTAATATGATGTCTTTGACTCCTTCAGGAAGACGCCTAGAAGGGGAACAGCTGGGTCGAGTGGAATTTTCTCCACATCCTGAGCGGGGAGAGGGAGGAACCAGCCAGCAGGGCAGTGGATGTGAGGGCAGCTGAGGGTCGCACACGGTGCCCCACTCACCCCTGCGCTGGGCGTGCTGAGGGGGTGGGGCTGCCCGCTGCGGTGCAGGGCGGGACCGGGTCTGCTTGGGGGGCGCCTGCGCAACTCCTCCCAGGACCGCCAGACCGCGGGGCGCCGCCCAGCCCTGTGGACGTCTGCCGGGCAACGGGATGCCCAGGCCTCCGCCAGGGCCGGCGGGGACGCAGGTGCAGGGTCCTCTGTGTCTGAGCTGTCAGTCTGTCCTACACTGCCCTGCACCCGCTTTATAGGAGGCTGTGGCGATGGGGAGAAGGGGGTGCTGGAGGCTGCAGATCCCAAACTCCGGAGAAACAGCTTCAGTTTCGCTGGGAGACGCGGTCCGTGTTCCACATGCCGTACACTCAAGTCCTTTTCCTGCCGACGCCAAGTCCCCGGTTCCCCTCGTTTGTTTTATCAGCCCAAGTTTGCAGTGCCTGATCACATCCTCGTGTGGGCTGGGCGGCCGCCAGGGCCCGCCTCACTCCCTTTCCGCCCCTCCCTCCATCCTCCGTCTTCCCTCCCCTTCCCTCGTGCGGAAGATTGAGCTCCCTGCTTGCTACTGTGTCTTTTACTTTGCTTTTTAATAATTTGGAAGACAATGGACGCACCTTGAGACCATAAATGGCAAGTGACACAACTCAGACGCACAAGCTGAGAGGGTACATGGCTTCTAGATGAGACCCAGAGTCCAAATAACCAAAGAGTGGGGCATGGCAGCGAATGCCTGTAATCACAACACTCGGGAGGCTGAGGCAGGAGGATTGTTGCGAGTTTGAGACCAGCCTGGGCTACAAAGTGAGCTCAAGGCCATCCTGAACTGCAAAGGGAGACCCTGTCTCAAAAAGACAATAAATAAATAAATAAATAACCACCCAAATAAACAGATGCTCACATCCCTGCTGAAAACAACCCTTTAAACAGGTAACAACTTTCAAATGCGAATGTGA